GAGATATCTAGAAAGTTTTGCCATGTGTACACATCTTTAAAATCTTAACATTGAATATTGTTTACCGTAAAAACAACTTAGTATTAGCAGTATCTAAACATTATTGACTTGTTCAAAACACAGCATCTTAGCTATACAAAACAAAAATAATATAAATACGGGAGAATGTGTCATTTATTACATGTAATGCTTTTTTTGTTAATTAGAAAATAAATAATGAATACTGATAATGTTCCAATATCGGTTACTAATTAATTAATGTATTTGTCAATTATATCTAAAGCAGGCAATTATGACAATCAGTAATTAGATAAAATAGCCTTGTATAGTTTCCACATTTACCAAAATAATCGTTCTTAATTAATAATAAGAACACCTGTACTGGATCTAAATTTTATGGTGATACTTAAATCAGCGCTACAAGTAAGATAAATACTGTTATTGATTGAATGTGGTAAGGTTGTACAGACGAAATTAGTCTAACCATGGCACAAAATTGTAAATTTATATCACGCTTTTTTAGCAGCTAAATTCTGAAATGTGTTAGTATAGGACGAAATCATCAATGCGCAAGCAAGGCATATATATATATATATATATATATATATATATATATATATATATATATATATATATATATATATATATATATATATATATATATATATATGCGGAGCATGAAAGAAACTCTAAATACGACTTTTGTCATGATTGAGATTAGGTGCATGGTTTAGGGTTATGCCTATGACTATATTTTGTATAAATTAAAGTACCGATTCTGGATAAAAATCCGTTTTCAATGTCATTTTTCGTTTCCGGTTAAATTGAATTAAGGTGATTTTGGTTTTGGTTTTAGTTTAGAAAAAATAGACAGCACTATCAACCTAGCGCCCGTTGTATCCTTAAATTCCTCAACGGGCTATTTTTCTCGGGTATATATATATATATATATATATATATATATATATATATATATATATATATGTATAAGGCTTATTAAAATATTTAAATCATATAACGAATTCTAACATATGTTGCTATCTGGCCTTTCATTCAATTTTGAATTTTTGTACAGGTTCCACTTTAAATTATTTTTTATATGTCATTATTGTTTCATTCTTTTTAGGAGCTAGGATGAGCAAAAGTCCGTGTTTGGGTTGAATGCGCAATTTTAGGATTGCTCTCTAATGCGTCGACTTTGAACAACGAACAATTTATATTTAAAGCTACACACGGTTCTCTTACCATAAAGAGCTAATTTGTCCCCATTTTTTGTCGTGATACCTTTACCAAATGCGTCATGCTCCTGTATAATAGTTAGCAGTTGTGACCATGTTATGATTTTCTACAGCTTTTAATATTGTTTAAATCTGATATCAATCATTTTGCTGAATTCCCATCAGTTGACTTCCTTTTTCCTATGTTGTAGTGTTTGCGTATTTCCACTAGTATTTTATTGTTTTGCACTTAACACACACATTATATATAAATATACAAATATATATATATATATATATATATATATATATATATAAAATTTCAGCCGGGGACCCCGCTCAAGCTTAATCTGCCACTGGCTACAACAAATATGGGTAAACTAAAAGTAACGACCTAACAATAAGCTGCTTGCATTGTAGAAGATAGTACGGTGAGATTCATCACCGGTAACTAGAAATATATTTTTGACAATATCAAAATGCAATGGTTAATTCCCTTTATTAATGCACAATACGGGACGGTAGATCGCGAGACTGCTAACTCGAAATTCGCGAGTTCGAATCCGAGTTCAAGGCAGTAGAATGTCCATGAGCCCACCCATCTCTGATGGGCACATAACACACGTTAGGGAAAATAAAATGGAATGGACATAGTGCTGACCACACTATCACTTCATATGCCGGGGTCTCCCTAAAAAAGATGATTAAGATTTATACACACAACTTAATTTAAGGCACCCTTTTATAGATACCGGGTGATACGCATGACTGGTTCACCCTAAAGGCCCAATCAGTATATCAACATCTTGATGCAGTAGTTACCCCAGTCTATCAACCAGGGGCGGAACTACAGTGCCGCCAGACCCCGCAATGCGGGGTGGCCCACGCCATTCTTTATAGTTAAAAAAAATAATTTTCTTGCATTTTTTTTGTAAATAACAAACAGATATATTACAGTAGTGATGTTATACAGTAGCTAACACATGTTGCGTTAAAAAACTATATGCCTGAGCTGTAGTGTGAAAAATAGGCAAACGTTCAAAACACTTCCAAGACTTATTTCCCTTTTTTAAATAATTAAATAAGGGTGCACATAAGCTCATTTTAATATATGTGTACTAAACAAACAAAAAAGCAATTACTTCTCTTGTTTATTATTTCATAAAATACATTCTAAAGAATGACATAGCATAAATAGGAAATTTATTTAAAACAAATAATATAAATACAAAAAAAAACATAAAAATAAACATAACACGAGAAACCATTACAAATACATAGCTTTCATGTTTTATATTCTTTTGACCGGCTAATTATTGAGGGTTGGCAGTATCACAGCAAAACAGACTAATGCATTCACACAATAACATGTTGTAATTTGTTTAAATTGAAAAAATAAAGACATTTTATATTCTGTGTTTGCATATGTGTATATATATATATATATATATATATATATATATATATATATATATATATATATATATATATATATATATATATATATATATATATATAAGGGGGGGGGGGCAGAATTTTTTTTTGCGGGGTGGCCCTTTTTTTCTCGTTCCGCCACTGCTATCAACACGTTGATACAGTCCGTACCATAGTTTATCAACGAGTTGATGATACAATCATTATCCTAGTATATTCTCGTGCTGATAAAATTTGTAAACGTGAGTGGAATAATTGACGAAGATTCAAAAGAGAAACAATACATTTTGTCAGTGAAATATATATATATATATATATATATATATATATATATATATATATATATATATATATATATATATATATATATATAATTTATAGAGGCATTTTAGATAGCCTGATAACGATGTTGTTAGCCGTCGGGCATATGTAGCTTGTGCCGCATGACTTAACACTGGGCCAACTTGACCTAAGCCTTCACCACTATGCTACTGCTTAATTTCTGTAATGTTTACAAAAATACTAGAACGGGCTCTGCTACAAGGTGTCTCAGACCAAACTCGACAAGTTACATGTTTTAATCAAAGGCAAACTAATTATGGCGAACGTTGCGCTGAAAAGTTCTTCATGCAACCCATGCAATCTGAGAAACATGTTTGAAAATAAAGAAATCTGTGACCCATTCATAAGCCCATAACGTTTTAACAAAAAATACTTATTTATACTTAAAACAAAAAATTCCACCAGTTCCAAGGACTACAAAAGTTGAGTGTGTTAGCGTTACTTTTGTTATGTGTGTTTAGCTGTTGTAGACCGGCGAAAGAATTCTAGAAACAGCTAAGTCGCGCCTGGACAGGTAGGCCTATACAGTTCTTTCTCTATAGTACAAGTGTTTTCCCCTTAACAACACGCTGCAGTTTGTAAACAACTGTCGCGATTACTCCGCCATTAGCGATTAATACGCTGGGATCTGCCAAGTTGGGCAATGAAATTAAAATACAAAAAATTATTTAAATACCATGTATTGACCGCCCACGGTAATGTTTAAATTAATCACCTGTTTTGTTACCCAGCGATATTTTCTTGTTCTAGATTAGCCTACACTTAACACATACAGCTAAACTGTTTGCTTAAAGTGCGTCTAAATAAGATGATGTACTTCATGGAAGTACGCGTGGAGAAGATCGTATAGCTCATTTTATATTTTAAATTTAATTTGAAGTTTAAATTTTAATTACATAATAACAGATGTAATTTGATAACTTAAATTAATGATAATTAACAAAAGTATTTAATAAAACACAATTAGCAACTGTTGGTATAATTAAAACAAAATAATGTAATTCTAGTGACGCGATTCATGGTAGTCGATCTCCAACACCAAGAACACTCGCAAACAATTGCAGATAGCAGGTTTGGTAACATACAGGAGGCCGTGGGTCTTCATAGTTGGCCGTGTGGGGACCGTGTGGTCAGTCAAGGGACCAGAGGTCATCATTGGCCGTGTGGGGACATTGTGGTCAGTCAAGGGACCAGAGGTCATCATTGGCCGTGTGGGGACGGTGTGGTTGGCCAGGAGGTCGTATGTCATTATCGGCCGTGTGGGGAGGGCGTGGCCGGTCAAGAGACCACAGGTCATCATACACCGTCATGGCAGCTAGCAACTTGCTTACAAGAACGACTTTCTGTAATTACAAGGTCCATTTCTTTACTGTACTAATATTTTGTGCTTGTTTTTTTTTTAATCTTGAAATTTTGTTTCAAATTGTTTTTTTTTCTTGCATCTCAATTCTTCGTTTAAGGAAACATTTCTAAAACTCCAATAAATTACGATAGTTAAACCTCACATATTTTAATTTATGTTCTTGTGTATTTTTTTTAGTAATTTTAGTCCCCTTGATGTTTAGTAGTAAAATAATGTAACAAGACAGTCGTGTATAGGATAAATGATGCAGAGCAAATCTGTCTCTCTAACCTCGGCATTTGAAAGGAACATGTGGTAAGGCTAAGCCAAGACGCCATTACTTACCTGCTCCAGACAGTTGATCCACACCCGTCTGGGCAGGGGGGATTCAATACGTTCGGGAACGTTCATGTTGATCTATTGCTCGACCACACCATCCCACACAAAAATATCCTGTTTTAAAATTGTTCTTTATTCTGGCTTAATAGTGGTGTAAACGTCTTGAAATATATTTTAGGAATTATTAAAATAGTTTGGTAGCTTATTACGGCAGGCCTGTGTAGTTTTCTAATGTGTCTGTTTTATCAAGACTTGAGAACCACTACACTAAACAGATGTTGCACGTGATATAAACAGGTGTGTGCCGTGAGATGAGCAGACGAGAGATGGAGCAACTGTTTGCTACAGCCTGCCTAGCCATTGACCAGGAGGCTGATGCCTTAGAACAGTTGAGCCTTACCATATGGAGGAATCCAGAACTTTTGTTTCAAGAGAGAATCGCCCACGATGCACTGACGAACTTTCTAGAAGAACGAGGGTTCGCTGTAGAGAGAGGCTACAAAAACGTTGAGACTGCTTTCAGGGCAACCTGGGAGTGTCCGGCTACTGGGGGTGAGTTGGTTTTATAGTGTGGGTGAGTTGGTTTTATAGTGGGGGGGGGGGGTGAATTGGTTTTATAGTGGGGGTGTCAGGCTACTGGGAGGTGAGTTGGTTTTATATTGGGGGTGAGTTGGTTTTATAGTGGGGGTGTCAGGCTACTGAGGGTGAGTTGGTTTTATTGTGGGGGTGTCAGGCTACTGGGGGTGAGTTGGTTTTATAGTGGGGGTGTCAGGCTACTGGGGGTGAATTGGTTTTATACTTGGGGTGTCAGGCTATTGGGGGTGAGTTGGTTTTCAACTGGGGGTGTCAGGCTACTGGGGGTGAATTGGTTTTCAACTGGGGGTGTCAGGCTACTGGGGGTGAGTTGGTTTTATTGTGGAGGTGTTGGGGGTGTCAGGCTACTGGGGGTGAGTTGGTTTTATAGTGGGGGTGTCAGGCTTGAGACTATTGGGGGTGAGTTGGTTTTATAGTGGGGGTGAGTTGGTTTTATACTGGGGGTGAATTGGTTTGATAGTTGGGGTGTTGGGGGTGTCAGGCTACTGGGGTGAGTTGGTTTTATATTGGGGGTGTCAGGCTACTGCGGGTGAGTTGGTTTTATAGTGGGGGTGTCAGGATATTGGGGGTGAATTGGTTTTATACTGGGGGTGTCAGGCTACTGGGGGTGTCAGGATACTGGGGGTGAATTGGTTTTATTGTGGGGGTGTCAGGCTACTGGGGGTGAATTGGTTTTATACTTGGGGTGTCAGGCTACTGCGGGTGAGTTGGTTTTATAGTGGGGGTGTCAGGCTACTGGGGGTGAGTTGGTTTTATAGTGGGGGTGTCAGGCTACTGCGGGTGAGTTGGTTTTATAGTGGGGGTGGCAGGCTACTGGGGGTGTCAGGATACTGGGGGTGAGTTGGTTTTATAGTGGGGGTGAGTTGGTTTTATAGTGGGGGTGAGTTTGTTATATAATGGAGGTGAGTTGGTTTTATAGTGGGGGTGTCAGGTTACTGTGGAAGAGTTGGTTTATTGTGGGGGTGTCAGGCTACTGGGGGTGTCAGGCTACTGGGGGTGAGTTTGTTTTATTTGAGAGTGCCGGGTAGGTGGGGTGAGTAGTTTTTTATTTGCATTTTTTATTCTTATTTTAGTATTGTGAGTAGTCACAAAACTAAAATAGTTTTAGAGTGAGAGATTGCCCTCCTACAAAATAACACCATATATATTTTTAATTATAAACTCACCTCATATTCCATATGTAACTGAAACGATTTCTTATCGTGTGAACTTGCCGTGTTCCTGTTAATATTAATATATTCGCGGAAACACCAACAACCACTATTATATCTTATTCCTTGAAAATTTATTGTTTTTTATTTTATTGTATATTATAGAGGCTATAAAAGCACGTTTTTCCCTTTTTAATTTTACAAGCTTTTTCTGTCTTACAATATCTGTTTGCCTGTCTGTCAGTCTCAGTTTCGTCACATTTCTAATGGAGCTATTTCATTCAACGTAAGAATATGTCATTGTCAAAAGTATTAAATATTAAATGTAGCCTTTTAAAGAGGATTAGATTTAGTAGGAAAAAGGGACATAACTAAAGTAAAAGCGAGCACTTTAAAAAAATTAGCCCCATTTAGTAAAACGACAGCCTGTAATAGAAAAAGTGAAAATTTGCTTTATAGATCTTTTGAATACATTTGTATTGGGGTGGAGTCGTAATGAAGCTAGAGAGGGGAAGGAGTGGTAGCAGTCGCCATTTATAATTGGTTTGTCTGCTGATTTAATGAATGAGACTAGGCCTACTGTCCATAATAAGGGCTTATAGTGTACTTAATTAAGACAGGTTAATATCTAGTTAATTAGTTAACACAATAGGCTACATAATTCTAGAGTCTAGTTAATTCATAAATGTATTAATTGTGCTGAATACAGTTTAAGGTTGCCGACAGCAGTATAGTTATATTTATTATTTACATGAAAATATCATGCGTAGAAAAATATCAATCTACAGCTGGTGTAAAATGTGATATCTGATACTATTGCAGTAATTAAATGATATTTATTATCCCAGTTGTGTTCTGTGTTAATTAAACAAACATATCCACAGAGAATGGATACAAGGCCCCTAACATATCCACAGAGAGTGGACACAAGGCCCCTAACATATCCACAGAGAGTGGACACAAGGCCCTTAACATTATCCACAGAGTGTGGACACTAGGCCCTTAACATTTTATCCACAGAGAGTGGACACAAGGCCCTTAACATTATCCACAGAGTGTGGACACTAGGCCCTTAACATTTTATCCACAGAGAGTGGACACAAGGCCCTAACATTAAACATATCCACAGAGAGTGGACACAAGTGCCCTAACATTAAACATATCCACAGAGAGTGGACACAAGGCCCCTAACATTAAACATATCCACAGAGAGTGGACCCAAGACCCTAAGTTTAAACATATCCACAGAGAATTCACACTAGGTCCCTAACATTTTATCCACAGAGAGTGGACACAAGGCCCTAACTTTAAACATATCCACAGAAAGTGGACACAAGGCCCTAACATTAAACATATCCACAGAGAGTGGACACAAGGCCCTAACATTAAACATATCCACAGAGAGTGGACACACGGCCCCTTACTTTAAACATATCCACAGAGAGTGGACACAAGCCCCTAACATTAAACATATCCACAGAGAGTGGACACACGGCCCCTTACTTTAAACATATCCACAGAGAGTGGACACACGGCCCCTAACATTAAACATATGAGAGTGGACACCAGGCCCCTAACATTAAACATATCCACAGAAAGTGGACACACGGCCCCTAACATTAAATATATCCACAGAGAGCCCTTACCATTATCCACAGAGAGTGGACACAAGGCCCCTAACATTAAACATATCCACAGAGAGCCCTTAACGTTATCCACAGAAAGTGAGTACAAGACCCCTAACATCGCTGTACTGTGTGAGTACGACGCCCTGCCTGAGATCGGACATGCCTGTGGTCACAACCTAATAGCACAGCTCGGGGTGGCAGCTGCTCTTGGGGTCAAGGCCGTTATGGAAAAACATGGACGGCCAATAGGAAAGGTTGGTTGAAACTGTTGTTATCGATTAAACTGCCACCTCAAGAAATGTTGAAAATTTGTAAAATTGTTTGAAATTCTTGTTGTTTTGTCCATTCATCTAAACTGAAGAACAAAGTAGTTCAGTGCAAGACATTTTTAACTAGATTAGTCCACTACCAATGTGTATACAACACCATTTTTTCTATACATTACTACTTTCTCTGCCCTATTTATAGACATCCATTTTCTCTGGCTTTTTTACCAGATTGTTTTTTTTTTTTTGCTCTTTTGATAACCACCCAAAATTTCTCTGCCGAATATTTTCTCAATTTTTTTTGACAACTACCCGATATTTTCTCTGCCTAGTTGACCGTGCTGGGGACCCCTGCAGAAGAGGGAGGGGGAGGAAAGATCGTTCTGATGGAGGCCGGAGCTTTTGATGACGTGCATGTGGCCATGATGTGTCACCCATGTTCAGAGAACATTGCCATGCCTAATACTCTGGCCATGCAACAATAAGTTTTTCATGTCAATGGTTGAGTCGGTTTTTCCCATTCGTTTGATAGGGTAGAGGCTATTAAAATATTCGTGGCTTGTATTTCAAGCTGCGTCCTGTTCATTCCAAGTTGAAAATATAATCCTAGTCGTTTACACAAAAAATTTTGATATCGGCTTGAAATATGTACCTATAAAGTATATCGCAATTTTATTTCGGTTGAATGAAAAATATTTAAATAAATATTACATATGACATACATAAGATATTCGATAGGTAACTAAAATGGATGTAGCAACTGACTTTGGATACTTAATTTACTTAATTAACTAAACCGTTAACACATCCACAAAAATTGGGCAAAAAGCCCGTAACACTAAACATACGATAGGGAACTTAAATATATCGTTGTAGCAATGTATATTAGATAGTTAAGTGACTTAACCGGACTGTTGTAGCGAGTCAACTGTCTAAAAACAGGTACACGATCACCTACCATGGGAAGGCTTGCCACGCCTCTGCCTCGCCATGGGACGGGGTCAACGCCCTGGATGCCGCTATACAAGCTTACAACAGCATCTCAGCATTAAGACAACAGCTGAAACCAACAACACGGGTTCATGGTGGGTTCAGTGTGGGGTTCATAGGGTTCTTGGTGAGTTGGGTTCCGGGGCTGGGTAATGGTGATATCATGATGTTTTCATGGTGGGGGGGGGGGGGGGATTATCTTCATAGCAGGTTCTTAGTGGCGTTATTTGATGAGAGAATATGATGTTTATATGTTTTCTTGAAGATTAAAAACTTTAAAGATAAGACCTACTACAGGGATCTTCACAAAAGGAGGCACCAAGGCCAACATAATCTCAGACTTGACCCAGTTAGAGTATTGCATCAGGGCCAAGGACAGACGTGAACTGGAAGTTGTCGCCCAGAAGGTCACCAAATGTTGGGATGGCGCTGCCATAGCAACGGGTTGCACGGCAAGTTTGAACAACATTTTGTGTAATATTCTTTTAAGTTTCATTAACATTTATTTTCTATATGGCATCAACAGACATTTTTTGGTACTTAGGCCAATAGATCTATATGGTAGTGACTATTGTAGCAGACAAGTGACATGGTATTTGTGACATCTAGAAAACATTGCACAATGAAGATAAAGTGCTTTGTCTTGTAAAGTTAATAAAAGCACTTTTTTTGTCACAAGAAATAGATGACCCAAGACGAAACTTTGCAAACTGTTTACCCGTTAAAATATAACTTGATACAGTGCAATGTTTTTAATAATGAAAGCTTTACCTCCATCCCCATTGATGTCAACATCTAGATACATATGTAACAGATGTTTTTTTATGTTCATTAAAATATAAGTGCAAAGCCCTTAAGGCTTGTCATGTGAAGTGTAAAGTATTTTTATCATAAATTAAATTCAAATATTTTTTTGTTAGCTACTAACCAAATTACTTGTAGATCTCCAATTAGCAATTTTCCTTGATTTAACATTGCAGGTTGACATAGATCACAGCCAAATTGGCTATTCTGATATAAACAACAACCGGACCTTGGCCAAAGTTTACGAAAAACACATCAACATGGTGGAGCCAGACAGGAGAAATTTTACAGAGACGGTAACACTTTCACATCACATGATAAATTACCTGGTTTTATCTGGAGATAACTTTCACAGAGACGGTAACACTTTCACAGAGACGGTAACACTTTCACATCACATGATAAATTATCTGGTTTTATCTGGAGATAACTTTCACAGAGACGGTAACACTTTCACATCTCATGATAAATTATCTGGTTTTAGCTTAGAGGTAAATTTTACAGTAGACTACACGTGTTGTACACTGTCAGAATAATATATAAGTTTAATTAGCCCATTTTAAAGTAACAAGTGCTTTATGTAGGTATGGGAATTGTGAGTCGCGTGTGTCAAATAATTGATCCTATGTACCTCGTTTGTGTGTACTGTAAACATCCATATGACCATGTGTTTGTGTAGTGTCCAGTACGTTCTACACACATGTACTTCACATGTGTCCTAGTACTCTCCCTATATATAAAATATTCGTGTAAACATCTTTTCTTTGTAAACGTTTAGTGTCCAGTGGGATCTACAGATATGGGGAATGTGAGCTATGTATGTCCCAGTATCCACCCTATGTACCAAATATTCATGTACTGTAAACATCTTTTCTTTGTAAACATTTAGTGTCCAGTGGGATCTACAGATATGGGAAATGTCAGCTACGTGTGTTCCAGTATCCACCCTATGTACCAAATATTCATGTACTGTAAACATCTTTTCTTTGTAAACATTTAGTGTCCAGTGGGATCTACAGATATGGGAAATGTCAGCTATGTATGTCCCAGTATCCACCCTATGTACAGGATAGGGGCTGCACTTAACCACAGCAAGGAATTTACCAAGGAATCAGGTCATACGGTGTTTTTATTTACTTTCAATAATCCTTTATGTTATTCACACATTATGTTGAATAATTATAACTTTAAAATAAATTAGGTTTTTAAACATATCAATTATTTTGAATTCGCAAGAAAAACAGTAAAATTAATTTACCTTAATGAGAAGTATTTGTATGGAAAAGTCAAAAACCTGATTTATACACAAACGTCTATCAACCTTTTGAAAATTCTTAGTGGAATAATAGCATTTTCTTTTTACTGTACATATAGTACAGTTGACTCTTATTTCTTAAGCACTAGTTTATGAATTCTTTATAACTCCGGAATTGTAAAGGACGACATCACAGCTACTGAGCAAGTATATTACACTGTCCGATTAATAACAAGAGTGTTGTCTCATGTAAAATCATATTTAACTATTTGGATAGTTGAAAATATGTTTTAATTAATTATTTAAAGTTTTTAATTAAGATTTAATAAATGAGTGTACTTTGTGGAAGGTGAAGATCAAAACATCACGTAGATAAATGACAAGGGCGACAACCAAATTAATTACCAACACTTTTCAGTTATGTCCGTTTTACAAGCATTTACTTAGCTCACAAGGTAGTTTGTTAGTGTATCTGTGGAAAATCTCGTAACTTTATTTTGACCCATTTCTAATGTATTGATTTCATTCAATTGTTCCAGATACCTTATTTATTTACAATGCGAGAATATCTAGTTTTTAATCTAATTAGTTGGACACATATTTATTAAAATTTAATAGATCTAAATAACGATACTTGTTATAACGATGTTTCAAAAAAATTGGTCTGGTCTAGGCAAGGGATACTAGTTCTTTAAAGCTTTTTAACTATAATATTTAAGTAATGATATTGCATTGTAAAGCTTTTTAAGTTGTTTTAAAATAATTGTATTTAGTTGTTTATTTTAGACTAAAGATGCACACACATTGACATGTCATTCACACAAAAAAAGTCTCTTATACATTCACTTCATAGACGCATATCATAGACACAAATGAACACGTTAGAGAATTACATTATATTATGAACACGTTAGAGAATTACATTATATTTTCTTTTAACTAAAACTGGCATCTTTCAGGAACCAGGTCAGCCTTCCTGTTGTCACAGACCCAAGGAAAAGCTCTGGCACTGACCGCTATAGAAATTATGTCGGATCTGGGACTGTTGGGGGAGATTACTGCAGAGTTCAGGGAGAAAACTGGACGAAATAACTGACTTCAAAAATGTTTCTGAAGTTTTTCTTCACTTTCATCATACGTTTTTTTTTTTTGGGGGGGGGGGGGGGGAATTATGATAACAGGGTTTTCAATTTAAATAAAATATTATATTGATACTTTAATAAACCCACAAGCTAATTATTAATCTCTTAGATTTTTAAAAAAAGCTATTCACTGTTATTGTTAACAAGTTATGAGGACGGTGTGATCCAGAGTTCGAGTCCCGGAAATAAAAACCTGGCGGCAACTAACGTGTACATGTAACATGGGGGAAAGAAATTCTCGATTCTTAAACCTGTTGCAGTCTTCATAGCTAATGACCAATAGCTTGAGCTGTTTATGACATTATCAGAAAGAGAGTGAGAGAGAGAGGGAGATAGAGAGAGGTAGAGAGAGAGAGTGAGAGAGAGAGGGAGAGAGAGAGAAAGAGGGAAAGAGAATGTTAACAAACTAGTGGCGCCATTGCTTGTTTTTATGTGAAATATTTTAATTCCTTTTGCAAACATAAGGTTTTTAAAAGATAAACATTTCTGATAAAGTTATGATTCTAGAAATTTAAACACATAGTCCTACATGGTTTTAAGCATACGTTTCATTTAAATGTAGCTTTTTTTCTTTCTATAAATCCTAAACAAGGATGAAGTTATAAACTCTCTGTGATGGTTATTGTTCATGACGTTTAGGCCTGAGTTACATCCAGGATCTCCCATACAATAAATTTGTAGGACTATTGTTTAACTTATAGACGAATAATATCCAGGAAAGTATGAAAAATTCATGAAACAAAAATGCATACTCATTGTTGCGATGCGAGTTTGGATGAGGTCGACCGTGTAGGACAACGTTATAGGCAATGATGATCTGATACGAATCACTGAACAGGACCACTTTGGTTCATTCCATGGTTTATGGCACGGCTAAAAACACACGGACAACCTCTTTCACATCTTTAACTTGTTCGTTCTTAATTTTTACTGTTGGTTCGAACTCAAGACTTCTTCGAATTTAACAACCATCAGCTTTTTACAGACTCGACCACGCCTCCAACACAATTAAGTATGCTTGTCAACTGGTCAACTGGTTATGCGCCTCCGATTTCAGTATGCTTTTCTATTTGGATTTGCTTCCATAGCCTTTGTCAAAGGCCTATTGTCCAACCAAGAACAGACTACAAGGCAGCAGTTGTTTGATTTTGGAGTTGTCTCTCCTAGAAAAGTGGCTGTCACCAGCTAACGAGCCTCATCTGCCCGAGGTTTCGAACTGGAGATTTTCGGTTATGGAACTATGAGCTTTACATGCATTTAATACAGTATCTTTTAAAATTGTCTCCATTATTAGCCCCCTAGGTAATGAATTTGAGCTTTTTATTTTTGGCCATTTAATCATACAAATGAAACTTTGCTTTAATAGCCTGTTTTGTAATATTGTCATAAATTAATACATATTACCTTATAAACTTATTTATAAATATAAAAGGAAACAAAATAAAAATTTTTTTTTAATCGTATCTGGTCTAGCGTTAAAGAAGGTGTGTGTAACCAATCATTGCATTCATTAATTGACTGACGAAGTTTTGTTGTTATTTATGCCGTATTTTGATTAAGGCTATTATCTCCATCTTTTTAATTATTAAGTAAACATTATTTTAAACCTTCTGGCTACTTAATATTTAGTAGGGGCTACGCGTTGAAAATAAAATAGTTAAATAAGTAAAAAAAAAGAATCTTGTTTCTTAATTATTTGTTTATTAGGAGAAAACCACCACAAAAATCCCATCTAAAAATGTCATGGGTGTTTTAAAAAGGTAGCATGCTAGAAAAAAATATCTGTGTTGTGCTAACGATACACAATTATTACAATAATTTTATCAAAACACGTATATAACCAAACATATTTTAAATTATTTACATATAGGCCTAACTCTGTGTTCGAATTATCTTCAAATAATTTATTTTGTATGTCAAATCATGTATAAATATACTACGTTAGTGTCCATAAATGACATAAATGTTATCCAACATCGTCATAAAATTTTAGATAAACCTGATAAAATGACGGATTTTAGCTAACAACCTAGGAGTCGTCCAGAAATGACGTCACACTCGAAGGGGGGGGGGGGGTCCATATTTTTGTGACGGGGTGTGATGAAGGGGAGGGGGTCAGATGGTGTGACGTCACACTTTTGCATTATAGGAAATATAATTATTACAATACAATATTAGAAAACGAGTTTTAGCCGTTATTTCGCGTTTTAGAAAACCGTTTTAATAAATTGTAATAGGAATTGATTAAAATACTCTATGTTGACAGAGTTCAGACTAGATTTTGGAAAAATATCGATGCTTTAAGAAAAATTCAATTGCAATTTTGAGGGGGGGGGGGTTGTAGGCTGAGGTATGACGTTCTTTTAGGGGGGGGGGTGGGAATCAGCTTTTTTGTGACGATGTGTGATGGAGGGGAGGGGGGAGGTAAAAATCGTCAAAAAAGCGTGACCTAATTTATGGATGACCCCTAACTATTCTACCCCCCCCCCCGCCTATTACAATTTTCCATTTGTTTAGACAGTTATTTCGTTCACCTCCTCCCCACAGTAATGTAAAGGCATTTATGGACGAATACATAGCGAGTACAACAAAGCATAAAGTATTTGCAAGCCAAGTGAAGAAATCACACATTTTTAGTAAGTGTGGCCTATTGTTTTACTTATTCAAATAAAAAAAAAAGTTCTTACATGTCAAGTCTTGCTAGTAACAATATGTTGCACATAAATAAGCTCATAATAATTATATCAGACTTAATATTAAAATACCGAAACGTAAACGACACATATTGTATATTTCGAACAACTTATAAGAAAAAAAAAACATATTTCACACACTTAAAAAACTCATTGAATAAATAATAAAGTGTACCATGCATATATATATATATATATATATATATATATATATATATATATATATGTATATTTGTATGTATATATATTTGTATATATATATATATATATATATATATATATATATATATATATATATATATATATATATATATACATATATATATATATATATATATTTATATATATATATATATATATATATTTAACAGGCAGATTAGTTTAAATAAAATACAGCATATGTCAAGCTAAGAAATGGTGATTCATAATTGTTTAACATTATGTTTCAATACACAATATTATTATGTAAGTTCCAAATCAACCTTCAACTTAGATAAGAATAAGATTTATACAAGCACACATACACAATATATATATATATATATATATATATATATATATATATATATATATATATATATATATATATATATATATATATATGTATATATATATATATATATATATATATATATATATATATATATATATATATATATATATATATATATATATATATATATATATATATATATATATATATAAGACTATTACAAGCACTATTTACACAGTGTAATAGTCGAAATGGCCAAACACGAAATAGCGGTTAAGAGAAAGCGACTAAATTCTAAGTAATTTCATATATTCATCTTATTTTAACACAAAACAAAAAAACATAACACAAACAGTTTTTAATTATAGGTATGAAAACATTTCTTTGAAACTGAGAAACTGACTTTTTTCTTTCCAATAATAATCGCTCACAAAAAAGGTTATAATACAACATTGTTTCACTTATAGATTTCGATATAGAATATGTAGTCAAAACTTGTGGGTTAAAATTTGGTAAGTCTATTCGTAAATTATTATTTAATACAATGTTTTTGATGATACAGGACTAGGCCAAAAACAAAGTGTTATTTAACTTATTTTGCAGATGCTGTTGTTTTAATGCAGTTAAGAAAAACAAAAGTTGAAATCTTATATGTAAAGAATTACGTATTGCTAAGTTAGTAGATAATAATTTTAAAAAATACCTAGCTTTCAAGTTACAATCCTTACTAACTAAAACTTTATTTTTCTTTCGTATCATCATCATCACCATCATTCCTTTGTAGCCTCTGAGGAGCAAAGGGCTGCAACTACACATTTCCAGCGGACTCGGTTTTTGGGCTGCTCCCTTAATCTGTGCCCATGCGAGCCCAGCTGTTTTTGCCTCTTCCTCAACCGTTCTTTTCCATGTTTTCTTTGGCCAGCCCACTTTCCTTTTTCCCTGGGGGCTCCAGTCCATAGCATGTTTTGCAATTTTTTTCTTTTTCTCTTCTTAACGTGTGTCCGATCCATCCTCATTTACGGGCCTTTTTTTTCCATATGCAAGGTAGCTATTGTTGCGGCTCCGTTTTCTGGTATACATTTAACTGCAATTAATTTTTTTTCCTTACTATCTTTCAAATCTTTGAAAAACGTATACCGCTTTTCCGTTCCATCTTGTGACCAATGAAATGGCACATCGGTTCTCGAGGTCATCTCAGTAGCTAATGAAAAATATTTCTTTTCTGTATTGAAACAATCAACGTCCTTGCTGTGTTTGAAAAAGTGAGTTGCTGCAGAAAGTTGACCAAATTTAATGTTGCCTTTCATTTCTGGGGCACATTTTTCCATTGCATCCTTTATTTCTTTAATTAAATCGTGCTTTTTATTTTTATTAAGTAAAAATTCCAATACATTTTTAAAAAAATTTTTCTTTACATAAATGACAAAGAACTCGTAAACAGCACAAAAATCATGTACATCTTGACAATCAATTAAACTTGCCACTTCAATTCCAATATTGAGGTAATCTTCTAATAATGGTTTGTTAATATCGCTGACATACCTAGTCGAATTAGTGTGTATATTTTGTATTCCTCTATTTTTAATGTTATTGAATATTGGCTTTCCATTTAATGTAAATAAAAATATACTTGGACATTTTAATAATGCGCAAATCTCTCGAATTTTAAAAAAAATAGTTTCATCTGAAATCCATCTATATTTATGAATAAGGTAATCTTTTTTAAGATCCTTAAATTCCTCTTCTATTTGAACAAATGCTTTTGCATCAAATGTAAATGTAAATAACGCATCTTTTTTATTTATATTCCGATATTTTGTCTTCATTTTTCCGTCAGATGTAAATACAAGCTGCAACATATTTTTATTTGTTGTAAGTTTTATATCTTTTAAACTGTCACTTTGTTGCCAAATTCTTCCAATATTAATTATAAAATAAGCGTTACCGAGATTTTCGCGTTTCTGCCCGGTAACATTTATGAATCCGTCTAGTAAAGCATTGAAAATATCTTTATCATCATTATTACACTGTTCTTTAAGACGGTGAATAATTTTAATAACAAATCTTGAGTCAATCCTGTATCTATAAATCAATGCAATAAATTTCAATTTAAAGCCATCCAGATTTAAGTTTTTGATGTCGCTGCGAGACATTTTTATGACTTCGACTACATCTGCTGGTTCACCAATTATTTCTATTCCTTCTTCAACTAGTGGATCTACATATTTTAAAACAAACTCAACTTTAAGTAATTTATCATAATGTGTATAGTTTAGATCTTGTTCCCATTTTTTTATTTCACATTCAATATCATCAGTGTATTTTCCAGTTCGTGGATAACAAATTTCATAACCTTTGAAGATATTATCATTTCTGAAATCGTCCCATGTGTTATAAACTCTCCCTGTTGGATCTATAAAGTGAATATTTTTGACACCCTTGTCTGAATGATACTTAAGTCTTATTAGTGGCACCAATATATTATTAGGAGGTACAGGCATTGTTTTTACACATACGTAAATTATTGAAATGCACAGATCCATTTTAATATAAACACTGCATTTTTGTGCAATTATATTAAACATGTTACCTTCGTTGTCAGTGTATTTACATCTGCTATTTGAACAGAAAAGAAACGTCAGTTGGTCTTTTAAGATATTTTCTACATCGTCTGTTTTCTTAAATGTCCAATATTGGTGTCTCAAATGGCTTGCAATTAATGTTTGGATGTTTTCTGCACTAGTCCAGTCATCCCAATCAAGAGCCATGATTGTTCTATTTTATTACAACTAAAGCTTTTTTCTTTCTCTTAAACCTTCAGTTGCGTTTTAATTATTATTAGCTTAAAAAGCATAGACCTTTATTTAGAAGTCGAAACAATTATATTAATATTGATTATACCAGCGTTTTCTTGGTAAAGTAAAAGAATTTACGTTTTTATTTTACTGTCGGCAATATGATATTTATAGCACTGCACAGTTAACAATTTTTAGGCTTATAGTTCTAGCCACCATGAATGCTTCTCATGCAAATGTGCAGGACGCTTTAGGTAACTAATGTCGGGCATTACATACTCATAATCTATGTAGTCTCCGTTTTTCCAACACTCCAACGTATTGTTGAATAATGGAAGTAAATCTGAGAGGTAACTTTTCAAGTCACTAACGTTTTCACAAAGATACTCAATCCCAGATCTTAGCATTAAGGTGCGTTGTACGCAATTTGGGTTGAATTCATCAACCTGGTTCTCGACGCAGTTATATAAAGCTTCAAATAACCGTTTATCTTTAACAAGTTTCAAAACATCATCCTTTATAATGTCTTCTTTATCTATCAATTTAAAAGCATGGATTAAGACAGTCTCCGCTTTATATTTATTATTTGGATCATCGATAGAACTCTTCAAAAGCTCTTGGAATTGTTTTGTTTCTGAAAGAAAAAATTGCAAGATATTTTTTTTTACTAAAATTTTAAATTAAAAAAAAAAGCATTTGATAAGATGTATATTAGTAATGCCTTGATTAAACTATTGAGTTTCAATAATACTATCAACATTCTAATATATAAAAGTCTTTCTGTGCGCCTTTCTCTCTCTCCCTCCTCCTCTCTCTCTGTCCGTCAAAATTTTTCCGAGGCTATATGTATAAAAATACGTAGTTTATTGAGAAAAATATATTGATTATAATAAACGTATAATCTAAATTCTATTTAAAAAAAAACAAATATAAAAATAAACGCATATTCGAATGTAGAAACAAACACACCTTTAATTATGCAACCCCCATCTGTGTTAATGTTTGCTTTTGTATTTGTGTTGTTTGTTTATGTTTGTGACAAGAATGCTCCATTCATTTTACATTGTGTCATTTTTAAAAATTGAAATTCGTTTTTTTTATTATAATATGTAAAACACTATGGATACATGTTATTTTGATTTCTCTGTGAGCTGGCACACAAAGTTATCCAATTGAGAATCACTAACTCACGAAACTGAGTCCTACACTTCAAACTGACGCCGCTTTTACAATGGTAGTCTATAATTTATTTTCTACTTTTTAGTTCATTATTACATAAAAGCTTATTATTAAAACGTTTTTTATGAATTTTTTATGAGGTTTTCACCAAAGCGTTATCAATCGAATGTTTCTTTTAGACGTGTCGCATTGTTTCCTAAACAGTTTTAACTAAATGTAAACATTGTCGGAACTGTATTTCGTGGATCTTAGTTGCTGCAGCGCTAGTTTGTCCAGACTACCACCGAGACGAGTAATGATGAAAGAAACACCATTCAGCAATGGCCAAGATGTCAGGGACTCGTGGGGCTCCTGGGTGCCACAGGTTACATTACTGCACGAGTGTACTCAAAAACACAAACAATATAAAGCAGTCTTAAATTCCTTGTTTTGTTAATTAGATTCATCAAACAATTTAATTAATTTCTGCTGATCAACGTCAAACAAAATTTACACTAGTGGAGAATGAACAGTTAATATGTCCGCAAACGATTCATTTATCTATTCGCTACTCGTGAGGAAAAGAGGGGGGAACGGCGGGAGGGGGAGGGCTCAGAAAGGATCCTAAAAAGGGACAACAAAGAGCCGATGTACGTGTATCCCATAGTGTTGAATTTGGAATGGTTTCAACGACTTTTCCAAAAGCCTGTTACAAAACGTACTCAAGGGAGAGAACTCAAATATAATACAATCTTAATGTCACATTTCTTTTAAAAGACAAAGAAAAAAAAGTAAACGTACCTATATTCAAAATTACTGTTACTATGTTCTTTTTTATTATTTGTAGGAGACAGGATAGTACAGAAAAGTAGTAACAGTTACTACTCATACAACAAACGTACAATTTACATTGAAAATTGTACAATGGACTTCCGGTCCCTAACCAACGCCATAAAGAAGCACCAAAGGTAGTTTATATATCTAGTAATCTCTCGCACAATGGACTTAGATTTTCTTTTTCAAAAGAATTTAGCCGGCGACAGCGTGTGTTTGATTGTAGGAGAAAGAGAACTCGGCCTTCATTATAATTTAAAAACAAAGGGGTGAAAATGTAGGCCCTATATATAAAAGATTGGGATAGTGTCTATAGAATAAAAATAACCCAACCCAATATGCCTATTCTCTTTATAAAACAACAATAAAATAAACAAGACTTTCTCTATACTTCGTATATATGAGAAAGTAAAAATGCACGAAAATTACATTTTTTACTTATGTAACACATATTGTAACCAGCCAGGGGGATAAATAATAAGTTGTAATTTATTGGTTTCGTGCTGTGTTCTACTGTTCTACAATCCTACATCGCCGTTTATGGCTTGATGTTAATGTCAATAAAGCCAGTAGTTGACAACACCAGAGTCGTATGCTTTATCTCAGGGTCAGCTCTTTTAAACACAACACCTTAGTGGTAATAAGCATCCCCATTAAGTGAGTGTTGTTACACTTATAAAATAAACCGGGAGTGATCTCCCCTAAACTTTCTCGAATATCTATATATATAATTCTCTTCTGGGAGACGTTAGAACTCACTCAACCGAACGTAAGCGCAATAGTGCTCACGGGAGGACGCCAGAGGACGCCCGGATTTGATTTAGTTAAAGACTATAGTAGCCTTTCTTATTCATAGTCTATCGCTCACATGATAGCACAGGGCACAAAATCATACCCTACCGGCAGTGGCGTAGCGAGGTCGGGTGTTACACGGTGCGGCAGTAAATGGTGTCACCCCCCCCCCTCAGGGGCGTAACAACCCTTCCCAGGGACAAACTTTCAAATTTTCGATTTACACACCCCCTCCCTCAAACTTTCGATTTGCACCCCCTCCCCCTCAAACTTTCGATTTGCACCCCCCCCCCCCCTCAAATATTTTCAGTGGCAGCGTTGGTACTGTCGAATTCACAAATCATGAATTACTGAAAAGTAGAAAATAAAACAACTAAATAGCGGCGTATGATACGCCGCGGGTCGGCTCGTATATATATATATATAATTCTCTTCTTGGGGACCATACGAGACAACAGCTTACCCATTTCTGTCCCACTTTCTAGGCATATCACTGCCACACTCAGGTGAGCTATGGTTCACCCCGAATGTTTACAATAGTAGAGCAGGTTCAAATAAGTGATGTCTATTAGGGGCAGATAATTTAGTTTTTAAACGATTTGAAACTAAGGGGAGATAATAAGTTCTGCTTGATATTTTCATTGTCGTCTGTAAACGGCTGCTTTCATTGGGCTGGGTGGGGTGGGGGGAGACCGGGGGGTGGGGGTAGTGTTGAATTCACAAATTATGAATTGTTGATAAGTAGAAAATAAACAACTAGATAGCGGCGTAAGCTACGTCGCGGGTCAGCTCGTAAAAAATATTTTTCCACCGATATAATGTTTGCTTTATTAAAGGGAAGTAATAATTTTTTTTTTACTTTCAAGAGAAGTAATTGGCACTAAAAGAACAAAGTGAAGTAATTTATACACTTTTTAAGAGTTTTGTGAATGATTATATATTTTCTTTAATGTTCTTGTTTCCATATGACGTTAATTAAAATTATACTTTTGGAAAATGAAACTTGTTTTACAAAACCCTATATAATAGTTTTTCAAACATTAATTTAGATAAAAAACACTTCATCTTTATTATACTATAGCGATCAAGTCGAGTTTTTTTAAACACGTTTTTCTTAACTCAGTTTGTTTGTTTGGATGTTTGTTGTTAAAATTGACATCGAAAATTAGCCCACTTCTGCTTGCTCTAGAGATCTGAAATTTGGAATGCAGGCTATTTTCGCCTATCAATTTCAGATGCAATCATAAAAACTAGCGATTAGAGACCTAAATTAGCTTAATTAAATTACGCCCCAAGGACCATAAAATCGAGGACATGATTTCTAAACATAGCGAAAAGACTGGAGGCCTATTGACACAGTTACTTCGGCCCCAATCGATGTGAGCGCGCTGGCCGTGATCGTATAGTGGTTAGTACTTTGCGTTGTGGCCGCGACAACCCAGGTTCGAATCCTGGTCACGGCATGTAGGCTTAATTAAATTACGCCCTTTCTCTGTTTAAAGCGTATCGGTCGCTCAAGATTTTTAGTCCGTGTATTTATAAACACTTAGTCAAGTCATACTTAATCAAGTCATTAGATAAAGTAGAAAATAAACTATATAAAAAACTTTTTAAAAACAACGTTTTTCATGTATAGCAACGGACTAAAAAGGAGAAAATAAAATACTTAAATTTTTTTTTTTTAAAAATCACGTTTTTCTTGTGGACTAAAAAGTAGAAAATAAATTTTTCTTTTGTGCTTCCTCGAGCTGTGCAGGTTCTTGTGATGACTGACAAAAAACGTGGGTCGGGCAGATGGGTCGGGAAATTTGATGGTGAACGTACCCACGTTTTTCTATAAAGAAAAGCGTGGGTCACTTTAATATCTATTGGATACCTTTACTAATGTTTAGGAAGAGACCCACGCTTTTCTTTCTAGTTATTTAAATAGTAGTCTATAATTTATTTTCTACTGTTTAGTGCATTATTACATAAAAGCTTGTTATTAAAACGTTTTTTATGAATTTTTTTCCCAGTACATTACATGTTTTATTTACAATAGTTACATGACTAAAAACCATTGCGCGTCTATTGAACGTGATGGCGCAGCCATTGAAAGTGATAAAGCAGCCATTGAACGTGATGACGCGTGTGGTGTGGTTGGATAGACATGCCTACTAATTCTGTCAAAATTTTAATTAATTCATAAAAAATTAATTAGGCATCCAATTAAGTCAAATTTAGTTTCAGATTGCATTGTCTTCATGTCTTGACCCACGTGCCAACTGTGAATCGTATCGGTCAAGTAGAAGTGTCCGAATTTTCACTCCAGCGTTTCGATCTAGACAGACTGACGACTGACGACTGACGACAGAGGAAGCAAGTTAAATAAAATCTTGTAAAAATAGTCTAAAACCGGAGTGTGCTCACAATAATATGACGTCATTGATTCTCGAGTAAACATTGAATTAAAAGTGTTTTGCGTGGAGTTTCTTTCATGCATCTCTTCGGGTAGGGGCAAAGTCCTCTCCCCCCCTTCACCTTAAGAACGTTTATGCCCCCTCCCCTCAAAAGAAACGACGTCATCTATACTCTATAATGAAAACACTGACATTACGGCCTAATTAACGTATCTAATCTTTAAAGTGTTTTTACGACCTAAATTACGTGTCTAATGTTTTAAGTGTTTTGCATGAAGAGTTCCTCTTCTGGTAGGGATGAAGCCCCTTAACCTCCCCCCCACCCCTCCTTCCAGGGTATAACGTCTAATACCCCCCCCCCCCCCCCCCACAAAAAGGCGTAATATAGTTTATATAGAAGATATATACTTTTACCAATGTTTGTCCTCCCCCGACCCGGAGCCAATGCCAAAAAAAATACACAATAATAAAGACGTCATCGATACTCGATAATAAAATCACTGACCTTACCGCCTAATTCATTTGTCTAATCTTAAAAGTGGTTTGCGTGCAGAATTTCTTTCGGTATAATGTCTAACCCCCCCCCCCCAAGAAAAATAATTTTATATAGAAATATATACTTTTACCAGTGTCGGCCTCCCCCGCCCCGGAGAATTGTATACGCCCCTGCAAAAATTCAATTGCCCCCACCCCCGGAAAAGTGTCTGAAAGAAACACTGTCAGCATGAGTGAGGTTTATCGGCTAAAAGTAGGACACGGGTCTTGATTGTAAAAGTAGTGTCTACCTTTAGTCTGTAGGCCTATGAACTACAAATGGAACCAGTGTTGTGTTCAGACTTTTTTTCTACCCGAAGGAGGTACTTGAATCTTTCGGGGGTAGGGGCGGACACTGGTAAAATTATATTTTCTATAGAAATTATATTTTCTAATAGGAGACGGTAGACGTGCTTTGAATGTAAGGGGGGGGGGGAGCTCTGCGCCCCAACCCCCTAACCCACTGAAAGAAACTCTAAATGCGACTTTTATCAAGTTTGAGCATAGGTGCAAGGTTTAGGTGTATAACTACGACTATATTTAGTTTCAATGTGCAGTAACTACGTGTAGATCAAACGTAAATCCGATTAAAATGCCGATTCTTAAACGATCGGAAAGCGATACAAGAATCCGTGATATTTATTTCTCTATTATACAGTGATCCAAGCAAGATGTTAATGAAATCAAGTAAAAGTATCTGATATCTCACGTTGAAGTTGAGAGAATCCTAAGAATAATGCAAAGAACTTCGTAACAAAACTGGGTAGCAAAATTGTGCATTACGCGTTAATACAATTGCTTTCTTTTCTAAAGGTTAAAAGTTATCTATTCGCCAATCCAGTACAGATACTTTTTTTTGTTGGTGAAAAAGCACCTTGCCCCCTCCCCCTCCCCACCATCTTGGAAAAAGTTGATAGAGTGGGTTTTAACACTTTTTGTAATTTTACACAATCGTAAAATACGCTTTAGTATAATTAGTTTCTTTTCTAAGTGATAAAGGTTTTCTACTCACCAATCCATGCTGTTTTAATTAGCAAAAAAGCCCCCACCTCCCCCCCCCCCCCTTCTAGGAAAAGCTGGAAAGGGATTTTTGCTGGTCACTGTTTTTTTAAGGGTACATGTTTTACAGTTACACAATAAAGGTAGAACGTTAAATCAGTATCCAAAGTCTTGTAGCCGTTAAATTTCTTGACTTTGATTGTTTATAACTCAAAACTGCACCTTAGAATGAGCTTTTAATTTTTTTCTACCCCTTTTGGTGCCCCCCCCCCCTTCTAGGGTTGGCGCCCGGGGCGGCCGTCCTCCCCTAGCTACGCCTCTGATAATACATGTACTCAAACAGCATGGACTATCATGTGCGACAGTTGGCCTGCCAACGCCAACAGGTAGCCCGCTAGATTACAAGCTGTTTAATAACGAAGAGGAACAATTTCTGGACGGTTCAGGTAGTTTAGAGAAAACATTTTTGTATGCCACGTTGTTGTCCTTCTTTCGAGGAAAATGACACATATTTCTTCCCTTTGCAACAAATGGCATTGCAACGACAATGCTTAAAAATAAAAGGACCGTACAAAGCGGTTTCCATTTCCTTCTTTCATTGCATTGATGAGAGCAGCATCGCCAGCCGCTGAAGAGCTGCGCCAGGCTGTACACATAATCATAGATGCAATAACTATGCTATCAAAGTACGGCGATGCTAAGCGACAAGCCAGGACTACCCAAAGAGACTGTTGAAATTCCAGACCACATGGTAATTAATATAAAATTTAATTTACACAATTTTACACAATTTTTTCCAGAAGCCGGCATATTTACAAACATCGAAGAAATAACTAAACATGGAATTTTAGCTCCTACAAATAAGACAACCCTGGAAATAAAAAGCCAATCTGGACTATCTACCTGAGTTCCTGCACAAACTGACTCCATCAAGCATGCTACCACACACATTGATGTTAAAGCAAGGAGTTGTCATAATGCTGCTGCGAAATTTAAAACTTCAGCAATGGAAATCGCTTTATAATTACACATCTTTACACCAATGCCATAAGAGCAATTGTACTATTGAAGTGCAATAGTGGGAGTGTTGTGTTATTCCGAAAATTCCATGCGATTCAAAACTCCCATTCCCCATTGAGCTTCAATTAAAAAAAAAACAGCAATTACCCCACTTAAGGATAGGCAGCACGGATAGAATTTTTTTTTAATTTAACACATTTCTGGGTGTTTAATAAGTACATATGTTTTTAGATAAACTATAGATAAAAATAATATATAGCCGTCAATAGCAGTACTGGTTGCCATGGAAACAGCGAAAAGGTGTGAAAACTAACACCTATTGAAACCTCTATAACTTTGTTCCCATAAGAAAATTTTAAAAGCGGATGAAAGATTTAGATTTCATAAACCAAACTATACATTTCTACGTTTGTTCATTGCGATAGCTTGTACTGAATTTTTAATACAAATTTTTTTGTAAATTTATGTAAAAAAATTAGGGGATAGTGCCAAATGAATATCAATATTTTCTAAAGTATTATAGTAAACTTAATGTACAAAGGTAGTTTTGTAGATGGTATAAGGCTAAATGCATGTGGATTGTTTCAGTCTTGTATGACAAAGGGTTCCAAAGCCTGAGCGATTTGAATGTTGAACTTTGAGTAAAAATGCAAAGTTGAGAAAACGTGAAAAGAAAGGCGGAAAAGGGTACTGTGCGTTTCCTGTTACAGAAAACAGAAAAATACTTCTTCTTTTTATGTGTGGAAGAACCATTTGGCTAATAAAATAAAAATGTATGTTGTTAGTTTTAGATAGATTTTTCTGTGTAAGCAGAACATATATACACAACAGGTAATGAATTAATGACGATTAAATTCCAGTAGATGCGAGGGGCTGGTCGGCACCAACGCCCCGTGTGACGGCAGCGATGCAATAGGCGGTAGAGGCGGGCCCTCGACCAAGTAGGGTAACAAAGCCGCTACACCCGGCAGCTCGAGGTGTGCTACCCTGGAAACTATGAAGCCTCTATGTTTTCTCATCTGGAAGATTCCAGTACGCTGGTTCGTTTAAAATATGATACTAAAATCTTTGGAGTAGTGAGTGCGATGTCGCAACTTAACAATTACAAAGGCCAATAGGCAACCTAAACTAACTAATAGTCTGTCATGTGACTAGTCAGAAGAAATCAAGTAGTCCATAAGAGAGGCATGTGTAATTAAATTAATATTTATTTTGTAGGATTCGATTAAAATAAAATATCGAGACATATTTTAGGTTGCGGAAGATCGATATTCTAGACGAGACGTGGACAGTGATAGGTGTAGATTAATTCAATTTAAGGTTTCCTTCTATGTAGGGATAGACCTACAATTTGCATTGGGTTGAAACCTATGAAGGAATTAAGTGATTTTTAACTGTTATAACAAAAGCAAACCAATGAGCAGTAAAAGGAGAAGTTCTCTGTGCCAGGACTGCTATCTCAATAATGTTATGTACTGCAGAAGCAATACATATTTACTTAGTCACCACGGTGATTTTACGCTTCATAAGCAATAAAACATTACTATGCTGAATTATTATGATATAGAGGTTCAGCAATACAAACAGTGCAAAGTATTTTTTAGTGAAAAACTAACGGTAATAATGAAGTAATTGGGACTTGTTCTTAATTCTAAGTAATCTGCTCTGCCAACCAACTCGAGCGATTTGGGAGACATAGGATGCACACACGACCAGAAAATGCTTGACGATGTGAAATATTTTGTGGCTCACGGTGTCTCATTATTGTCAATACATGGATTATTTAAAACATTCCTGAAGATTTGGATAGTACAACCTTCGTGAGACAAGATAAACAAATAATATACTTATAGATTCATGCAAAACATTGAAGATACATTTTAAATACAAAGTATCTCGAGATAAAATAACACAGAGACTAAATATTAAAAAACAAAATTATCGTACAAAGATTAGGTTATCTTTCTGATACTTTGTCATTAGATAGTTTGTTCTAATTACCTTCTTTGTGTTTATTTACCTGGAAATGCATTATCGCTTCTACTGGCTTGAAATTCTTCATTGAAATCAATGTCTGACGTGCATGATTCAAGTGAATAGTCTACACAGTCGTCATCTAATGAATAAATCGTTTTATTATACCACTGTATTAAACAATCAAACAATATTTTTGTATATTTTGTTACACCATTAACAAGTATAGACATCGTAAATAAAATAAACAGAATAAATTTTGTGCTATATTTGACCAGGTTAGATTATCTGGTCAGAAATTCCATGAAAATAACATCATAGAAATGCCTTGTATCCTAAAATGTGTTTAGTAAGACTCTCGCGTGTGGAATATGGAAGAAGTTTTTTAACTTTGCAAACAATTTCAAGGGAGATTTTGACAGTTCTCCATAACTTGCACCCCTCTTAGTCAGAAAATCTCCGTTTCGCCATCTTATCTGTATGTCTGTGTGTGTGTCCGTGTGTGAACATAATAAATTGAGTACAATTACAGTTAGGTGTATGCAGGTGCACATACTTAATATATAGATTTATCTATAAAAGTAAAGTGAGGGTTGTTTTTTTGTTTGTTTTTCACACCTATTAGATCGGGCATTTGCAATAAAGTATCAGTCAAACTGACCTTGACAAAGTTTTTTGCAATTGGGGTAAATACGAGGGGGAGGGGGATGTCTGGGGGGGGGGGAGGGGGAATGTCCTTTAGCCAATTTAGGTAGAGAGAAATGTCATATATAAGTATTAAATTTTATGTGCAGTATTCTTTCAATTTATTTAAATTTTTTAGCGACCTTTGATAACCAAATGGGTTATTTAGTATGTTTCTGGTTTATACAATACCGCAATCTTGAGTACCGTTTCAGTTATTGTGGACGGAATTTTAAACCTAGGTATATGATTCTATTCTTTCACTCAAATTTTGAGTGATTCCCGGCTAATTGGAATATTACTTTGCGTTATTTTCAATTTCTGAAAAAAAAATTACTTCTACTGGACCGATGTCTTCCAAAATTTTCATGTAAGTCCAGACACGCGCGACAAAAATTGGCTCAACTAGATGTTTAATTAACTTTTTAAAAATTAATCAATATTTCTTTTATAATTGTCCACTCTATCATATAAACGTTGCTTATGTTCATTTGGTTGCGTTATTCTTTTTTTTTTCTTTCGATTGTACGAGAAAGTTTAGGGGAGATTACTGTCGTTTTATTACGAAAGTTTCAGTATATGAAACAATTTCTAACACGTAAGCATTGTAAAGTGTATCCATTTTTAAATTGACAGATTGTGTATTTAATAATAGATCGTTTTAAATTGTTGCTATTTGTGCATTTTGCACTCGATACTCGTCTTTCCAAAATTCGGTGGTGATTCTGTACACACCAACGTTAGCTAATCCTACGAGTTACATCCATTGCTCCAGAAAATGTGTCAAAGTGATCTTGTAATATCAAAATATTTTAGATCCGTTTAAATAAAATCTGAATTTAATTTAATTTTGCTATAGATCAGAAAAAAATGTTTTTACGCTTTTCATATTGCAAATAGAAATTTATCAAGAAAGTTTGCTTGGTAATTAATAATTTTTTTTTACTGGAAAACGGTCTTTGGCTATTGGCTTCCGGGTAATTGTCGCATTCAGACAGGTGTCCATTTGGGCCTTTGTAGCATTTGGGCAAGCTTCCAATTGAAAAACGGACATCAGGTACACGGCATTCGGGCAGGTGTCTTTCGGAAGTTGGTCGTATATGTAATGATCAAACTGGTTCTTTAGAAGCATTTACATTTAAATAGCTCACTTTTAGAAAACAAGGTCACGTGTCTAAGAACATATGATTGGTAACGCATTGATGAAACCATTATTATATATTTCGTCAGACTTTTTTCTATTCCAGCGGCAATAATGTAAGTGTGTTTGTCTGTCTGTTTGTCTGTCTTTTGTGCATTACTACACATTTCATCCGATCACCATGAAACTTTGGGAAGTTGTTGAGAATACACCCGGGGAGGTTTATGAGAAAAAAAAATCAAATTCCCAGCGGTGGCACCCCGGCAGTGCGTATTTTTTTTCTATATACGGTATATAAAAATAAAAGTCGATTTCGGTTTGACACAGTTCATCCAATCGCCATCAAACTTTGAGGAGTTGATTAGAACACTCTAGGGAAAGGTTCTGCATTAAAATAAAATTTTTAAAATTTTTCGCAGAGGTGTTGCCCCGGGAGGGTGCGATTTTTCTCCATATACGGTATATAAAAAAAAAGTCGTTGTGGTTCGACTCCGTGTGCCATGAAACTTTGGGGAGTTGATGAGAATACTCCCGAGAAGATTTCTGTTAACAAAATAATTAAAATTTGATTTTCGTCAATACTTGATTTGGCACTCAGAGTTCCAGAGCGACTATGTTAGCATTTGGCATCCGTTAATCGTGCGTCCTGCATAGCTAGTAAGGGGTACTACTAAAGTCAGCGTTAAAACTTTATCAGGCGGAACCGCCGGTGCCCCGAAGACTGCTCGAACCGAAGCGCCCTGGGCTACCCTGCGAGCACTTTGTAGCATACGTTCGTTAAAAAAAGGACTATACACTTAAGACAAGATGGGTATAATATGGAGCATGTTGAATTAGGCGTATTCGCCGGCGCCCTGATAGGGTACGATTTGGCTGCGAACAAAAATTTCAGTTTCGGTCCAGAAAGGCTCACATTGGCCGCTGAGGGCCCTGTTATAAACATGTTTTGATTAATGAGATAAATAATTAACCAAGGTTAGATTATTAACTAGTTTCTTTTTTCCTTTTGTCTATAACAAAATCCAAACAATTCCAAAGCCTACAGTTCTCAAAATAATTAAATATTTCAGTAAAAAGTAAAGTTTCGGAGGGCTAATCAAATCTAAAAAAAATACTTAAAAAAAACTTTTTAAAAAACCACGTTTTTCTTGTGGACTAAAAAGTAGAAAATAACTATTTACATACATTTGATGACAAAAAACGTGGGTACGTTCACCATCAAATTTCCCGACCCATCTGCCCGACCCACGTTTTTTGTCATCAAATGTATGTAAATAGTTATTTTCTACTTTTTAGTCCACAAGAAAAACGTGGTTTTTTTAAAAGTTTTTTTTAAGTATTTTATTTTCTCCTTTTTAGTCCGTTGCTACACATGAAAAACGTGGTTTTTAAAAAAAAGTTTTTTATATAGTTTATTTTCTACTTTATCCAATGACTTGATTAAGTATGACTTGACTAAGTGTTTATAAATACACGGACTAAAAATCTTGAGCGACCAGGATTCGAACCTGGGTTGTCGCGGCCACAACGCGAAGTACTAACCACTATACGATCACGGCCAGCGCGCTCACATCGATTGGGGCCAAAGTAACTGTGTCAATAGGCCTTCAGTCTTGTCGGTATCTTTAGAAATCATGTCCTCAATTTTATGGTCCTTAGGGCGTAATTAAATTAAGCTAATTACGGTCTCTAATTGCTAGTTTTTATGATTGCATCTGAAATTGTTAGGCGAAAGTAGCCTGCATGCCAAATTTCAGATCTATAGAGCAATCAGAAGTGGGCTAATTTTCGATGTCAATTTTAACAACAAACACATCCACAAACGCGAAGCTGAGTTAAGAAAAACGTGTTAATAAAAGTCACTCTTCTAAAAGTAACTTTGTAACGCGAGTATATCCTTCTTTACTGTTTCGTCACTTTGCGAATGATGCAAATAGCATCTATTTTTAGACGATCCAATCAGAAATTGAGATCGAGCATCTAATAATACACCATTAGTAACGCTAACAAATTGCATCATTCGCATTGATGAAACGTATATATTTCGTCAGACTTCCTTTTATTCCCGCGGCAACGCGCGGGGACGGGTACGCTTGTATATATATATATATATATATATATATATATATATATATATATATATATATATATATATATATATATATATATATATATATATATATATATATATATATATATGTATATATATATATATATATATATATATATATATATATATATATATATATATATATATATATATATATATATATATATAAGAGCAGGTGCGTAGCGAGGGGGGGGGGCGGGGGGTGCGGACCGCACCGGGTGAAACCATTTAGGGGGGGGGGGGTGACACCAAGGCTAAAGTAGCAAAATATATAGAGAAAAACTCGAGGGGGGTGCAAATCGAAAGTTTGAGGGGGGGGGGGGTGCAAATCTAAAGTTTGAGGGGGGGGGGGGTGCAAATCGAAAATTTGAAAGTTTGTCCATGAGAAGGGTCTCTATGCCTCTGGGGGGGGGGGTGACACCAATAAGTGCCGCACCGGGTAACACCTGACCTCGCTACGCCACTGTATAAGAGTATGTGTGTGTGCAACAGTCCGGAAAAGATTTAATAATTACATTGTAGGATTTTGTTCCCTAAAACTCTAATCATAGCCAATTAAATTCCATATTTAAAATGTGTTATCCTTTTAAATAAACCGGGAGTGAACTCCCCTAAACTTTATCTATGTCATTCAAGTGACAAACAACAGCAATTTATTAGAAACATGTATTTGTACACATTGGAATACGACATGGGTTGACATTTGGTCTTTTTTTGTTCGTGTCTTTAGAATATTTTCCATGATAGTATATTACAGTTTTAAATTATCAGTTAGGTTGAACAAAGTAACAAAGTCGTCGTGTTGTACCATTTTTACCTAGTTTAATGTCTAGTGGCCTTAACTATATGAAAATTGCAGTAGTAGGACTTGTTATGAAACAAGCACTCGAAAAATGATCTATTCGGTACAATATACTAATTTGTTTTAGCTTTTCAAATTTTGTTAAGAGTATCGTCTTCCGCCCACCCACTCCGACCGTACGCTAATTTACAGATCGGATAGCGATACAAGAATCAATGAAAGCAATTATGTGCTTTTTGTTTGTTTTAAGGGTTTGTGTTCTCATTAGAATCCGTGTTAATTTCAGGAAAGATAGTTGTAGCTACATGTTGCGTTATATGTTTTAATTATTTAATAAGCATTATGTTCGTGGAAAAGGCTATTATCTGCTTAAAAAAGTATTGCCCAGATTATGGCATAAATCAGAAACAAGAAGTTTATAATTACACACTACATTACCAGTTTTTTCACACGGTGACAACGTATACAGTTCTGAATTCTCGTCCAGCGTATCTAAATTTGAAATAATAAAAAAGGTTACACTTAATTAGAAAAATTATTAAGGTAATTGTTACATTACTTTGTATCAGTGTTTTCAAACTGATAGGTTAAGAACTGTTTCTGTTCATTATCACGATCATGATCATCATCATGACGATCATCTTTTATCATCATTATTATCATTCATGTGCCTGCCCCTTGAAGAGCTAAGGGACACAACTACACCATTCCATCGTACTCGATTTTGGGCAATTTCTCTAAGCTGGATCCACGACATTCCGGCTGCTTCTGCTTCACTGTCAACTGTTTTCTTTTTAAGTTTGTTTCGGTCTACCTAAATTCTTCTTTCTTTGGGGGTTTCAATCTAGTGATGGTGTCAATGAGGCTTTGACCAGTTTTTCCAGGCCACTTGATGTTCGACATGCGACGCTTAGTATGTGCTACCCTCCACATCTCTAAATCATATAGTAGAACATATTTCGCATTGCTATTAAACAGTCATATTTTGTCAAGTGTAGACTGTGCTGTCGACGTCCAGATTGTGCGGAGGGTGTTGAATGTGTACCTGGTCTTGTTGATGTGGTTTTATATGTCTTCATTCGCTCCCCCCATCCTTGCTTACTACACGTCCTAGATGTGTGAGGCGATCCACCTTCGAAACAGTCGTTTCTTGTGCCTTAAGTGGGAGCTCCTGTTTGTTGTTAATTATCATAACCTCTGTGTGTTTTTCATTCAACCTGTTTTAAGTGCTTCTTTAGAGATATTGTTTAGCTGTTGTCAATTTGAGAGAAAGCTGAAGTCATTCGCAAAATCTAGATCCTCCAGTGAGGTTCCACGGAATTCCTTCTTTTTGGTCTGCGTTTTTTGTCCTCATAATCCAGTCAATGACTATCAAAAAGATCATTGGCGTTAGCACACAGCCTTGCCGTACTTCGGTTTTCACTGAAAAAGAGCTAACTAGCTTCTTATGGATAATCTGGCAGCTGGAGTTTTCATGTAGCTGTTGGATGAAGTTGATGAATTATAGAAGGGATCCCATAATGATTCATTAACTTCTAAGCGACATCTATATCCATACTATCAAATGTATGCCTTCTCAAAATCGACAAAGGTCATGTAGAGAGGCAATAGCCGCATAATTGACTGTTCGATACACATACACGTACATGTACACGAACACGTACACGCACACGAACACGAACACGTACACGCACACGCACACGTACACGCACACGCACACGCACAAGTACACGCGCACGTACACGCACACGTACACGCACACGTACACGCACACGCACACGTACACGTACACGCACACGTACACGCACACGCTTACGTACACGCACACGTACCCGCTTACGTACACGCACACGCACACGCACACGTACACGCACACGCACATGCACACGTACACGTACACGTACACGTACACGTACACGTACACGTACACGTACACGTACACGTACACGTACACGTACACGTACACGTACACGTACACGTACACGTACACGTACACGTACACGTACACGTACACGTACACGTACACGTACACGTACACGCACACGTACACGCACACGTACACGCACACGCACACGCACACGCACACGCACACGTACACGTACACGTACACGTGCAACTACACAACACATTCGCAAACATCTTATGAAAGTAAGTACTCCAAAATTTTTTTAACTAAGATCAGACAATTTCCTACAAGTTTAATTTAGAATTTCAAAATTGGGATGATGGTAGGCTGAAGTATTTTTGTCATTGTTTTGGGAGATATAGATTTTTTTTCACGAAATGGAAATATATGGTACATCTTTTGAATATTTGATGAATATACATTTTGAATAAATTTTTGTTTTTCAATTTCTAACTAATTTTCTAAAGCAATCTATAGGACTTTCGCGCATGCAAAAAAATGTTGATATCTAGCCACAGAAGTCCTTAGCATTGAGTTCGAACATCAAAATGCACAGCAATATCAGATGCGTAGAAAATATTTAAGGAAATTGAACGTGCACACACACACTTATATTATATATACGATTATATTACATACGTACTAATACACATGCACATGCAAATATAATTCACGAGCTAATCC